CATCACACTGACAAATAACTAATAAGCAAATGAAAAAAACATATTAATGGTTAACACACATAAGTCATTTAAACTTTACTCAGCAAACTGCACACAGCACACTTATATTAAAGGATGCCAGTGTTACAGGAAACAGCTAAAACATTGGTGGGTCCACCTTCCTCTGCCTATGACACATACCCACTGCTGGATTGTTCACTCTTTTCCATTTGGCATTTATACAAGCATAAAACAGCCAAATACTACAGCAAAATTACATTTTCACCTTAATTACCCAAAATTACATTTTCACTCAAAATGAAAAAGTGCAGGGCGGCACGGTGGTGTGGTGGTTAGCACTCTCGCCTCACAGCAAGAGGGTTGCCGGTTCGATTCCGGGCGGGGGAGCCCTTCTGTGCGGAGTTTGCATGTTCTCCCCGTGTCAGCGTGGGTTCTCTCCGGGCACTCCGGCTTCCTCCCACAGTCCAAAGACATGCAGGTTGGGGACTAGGTTAACTGATAACTCTAAATTGTCCATAGGTGTGAATGTGAGTGTGAATGGTTGTCTGTCTCTATGTGTCGATAGTCTGGCGACCTGTCCAGGGTGTACCCAGCCTCTCGCCCAATGTCAGCTGGGATAGGCTCCAGCCCCCCCGCGACCCTCAAGAGGATGAAGCGGTTAGAAGATGAATGAATGAATGAATGAAAAAGTGCAGCGATCTTTACAGGTGTACCATGAATATAAAGCTACAGCCTGGAGGCAGCTCTCTTAGCTTAGCTTTAAGACTGGAAACAGAGTGAAACAACTAGCCAGGCTCACTATTAAACCACTGATATTGCCTTTGTTCAATCCACATAAAAACACATTATCCGTTTCCATTTATCCTGTTGGGGGTCGTGGGGCCTGGAGCCTATCCCACCTGACACTGGGCGAGAGGCTGGGTACATCCAAGAACAGGTTGCCATGCTATCACAGGGCTGACACACAGAAACAGACAACCATTGACCCCAACAGGCAATTTAGCGTCACCAATTAACCTGCATGTCTTTGGACTGTGGGAGGAAGCCGGAGAACCTGAAGGAAACCCACACTGACACGGGGAGAACATGCAAACTCCATAAAAATGATAAGTTGTAGTTTTATGGAGTCTCAATAACCACAAGACTTCAGGAGGACACTGCTGCCAGCGAAGAAATGGTCTGAAATAGTTAAACTTGTTGTTTTTACACTTTAGTTTTTATATGTATTAAACAAACCAGATATAATGTATTAATTAGTGAGCTTTAGAGGTGCTGGTAGTCATATTTTTTTAACTTTCAGACAGAGCCAGGCTCGCTGTCTCCACATGCTCTCATACATAATGCTAAGCTAAGCTAACTGGCTGTTATGGACAGATATGAGAGTGGTATCAATCTTCTCATCTAACTTTCTGCAATAAAGTAAATAAGCAGATTTCCCACAATGTCAAACTCCATCTGACAAACTTAAACCACATGCAGTGATACACAGCTCAGCTCTCATAGAAGTGGCAGGGATCAGCTGGGTGGATGTGCATAGAAATGCAAGTACAGTGAGCAGTCCAGCCTGATGAAAACTAAAGATATCCTACATGTTCTGGGAACACTGTGCCTATAAAACATACTCAACAATGCTGCCCTCAGGGTCCACCCCTCACCATAGCAACATGCTATTCCAAGAGGAAGATGTCTGTTACGAACAAATTCACGCTGTGTGCAGCACATACTGAAGTTAAGGAAAAACAAATGAAAGCTAAGCAACAAGGAAATCCTGAATCCTGACCCCTGCATTCGGTTTCCCTGGCATTTTCCTGTCATGCGGTTGGTGCATCATTGTTGGGATTCCTGTGCTGCAGAAACAAGCTCATGAGATATAGATTTATATGTCGCTTACAAGTTCTTTCATTTGATTGTAGTGCTGTTCAGGGGACGAAAGACCCCACTGGTCCTGCAGGCTGGCATCAGACGGTCTGTAAAAGAAAGGATACATCTCCGACACACAGTCCAGACAGGACAGGGTCTGGAGAGAGTGACACAGGGACTATTGTAAGACTCCAAAAGAGAATGTTACGAGGAAACGATGAGAAATGCTGTATACAAAGAGAGGATATACGATCCCATTGTGTGTTGTGTTTTTAGGGATACCTCAATAGAGTGTGCGATGTTAAGACACTGCTCCATGCCTGGGATATCAAGCTGGAGCACACGCAGATCTTTACACTTGATGGTAATCGTCCCTGAGGATCCAGACATCCTACACATACACACACATAAACACCATTATGATTCTTACACAAAACAATAGAAACAATACCACTTACGTCAACCCCCCCCCCCCCCCCCCCCCCCCCCCCCCCCCCCCCCCCCCCCCACGGCTCTAGCAGTGCAGACAGTCTGATTTGCAGCAGAAAAGGAAGGTAAACCCAGTCAGCTGGGCTGTGTGTGGGAGAGGGTGTGCAACTCCTGACTAAAATAATATAGAGTGGTTTCAGGAAGCTAAGAAAAAGCTGTTAGTAGCAAGCAACACACAACACTGCGAGTGTGTGTGCGTGGAAGGTGATAAGAAAAGAGAGTTGCTGTAATCTTGTTAGCAAATATCCTCCCTCGGCTCTGTGGGCAATGAGAGCAGCAGACACATGGCAACACAGATGATGTCCAACCTTTGACTGCGGCCTGCATTAGAGAAGCGGCGGGAGTAGACCAAAAGGTTTTCCACACTGGTTCAAAAGATTTGAGGAGTAATGGAATTAGACATTAATTCGAAATTCACTGACAGCTTTGGTGTTGATTAGTGAGGTTATTTATTTGACTATAAGAGAATAAAAAGACATATATACCCTTATCAGGACAGTAATTAGTGTTTTGAGCAATCATATACATCATTAAGGCTGTTAATTGAATTCTGTTGATTAAAATGTCATGTTTGTTTTGCAATCTGGAAACAAACAAGCAAATGACTGCATGCTGCTGTTTAATATCCTCATTTTATGCATGCAATCATCAATTAAACTACTTGCTCATGTGTATATTGCATTGATCACCTTTTCTCAATAGCATCGATGTTCCTGAGGAGCAGTAGAACCTGCCGACAGCTGCCCTCCTCCCTGTCCGAGAAGAGCAGGTGGTGGCCGGTGATGCACAGGGTGCCTCTGCTCGGCGGGTGCAGCGGCTGTCGGAGCACAACATCCTCCACATTAGCGGTCTTGATGTGCTCTGCAAACTCCATCAGCTCCTCTTCACACAGACCAAACAAAAACCACCCTCCGCTGCTGAAACTTGTTCCTGCACAAAGTGTCCAAATCACTTCCTCGCCCCTGCTGTGAGAAAACGAAAGCTCCCTCCTCTCCTCTCTCAGCTGGGTAGCACAGCACTTGCGCTCTGTTTGTTTGACGATAAGGAGCCTATAAATAGATTTTCTTTCCTCAACATAGCCAGGCCCTAATGTTGCTGCACCTTCTGTCACTCAGGTGGCTGAAAATGAGCACGAGACTGTTCTAGAAATGTGCTGCTTGAGACGGAAAAAGACGGAAGTGCACGTTTCCTGAGAAACAGCAGCACTGAGATGTGTCACATATTGCTGGTAAAAGTTTTTCACACATTGTGGGGGAGTGGAGAGGCTGCAGTGACCTGCCTGTTATATCACAAATGACCACTAGATGGCAACATACTCAAATGTAGAGAGCTGCTTTGAAATCAAGCCCCAGTTTGGCTGTGTGCAGGGGTGGAAGAAGTATTTAACTCTTTCACATTAGCAGAAGTGGAAATAACACAATGTAAAAACGCTCAGTCACATGCAAAGGCTCTGCATTCAGTAGCTTAGCCTACTTAGCTATTGTAGTCTACATATCATCAGCAAAATGTACTTAAGGGACCTTGGCTGCCCCATTTCAAAGTATGTACAAGATTTCATTGTTTATATATTTTTATACAGTTGGTTTATTTTATGCTTTTTATGTTGATCTGCAAATAACGGTGCAATATTTCCCTCTAAGATGCAGTGCACTACAGTAATGGAACAACGGAGCACATTTCCCAGTGTACATAAATGTCATTTTGAAGTACTTGATCTTTTCTTGTGTATTTCCATTATATGCTACTTTGTACTAACTCCATAGGTTCATTTTACTATGTGTACTTACTTTGCTGATTGCAGATATCACATGCAAAACACATGGCAGCACATGTTGCTGCATAAGAATCCACCAGAATGCACTAAACTGAGTGTTTGATGTCAAAAATGTTCTTGCAAAGAACCCTCAAACCCCTGATCCATATGTGTACCCTGCCAAAGTTGACACGAAATCTATTCAATATAGTTATGGAAAAGAATACAAGTCATTGTATTAATTTAAAGTACCCAGGACTATAAAGTAGTTTAAAATAGCTCCAGCTACAGCATTAAAATGCTTCTTACACATGAATGCATCAGTAATAATAACACAGAATTGTAATATAGAGTATAGACAATAATGCCACACTTACATTTGCCATTTTCTTGCATTGTGTACTTTTACTTTTAATACTTTAAGAGGGTTTTGCTGATTATATTTGAGTATTTTTCCTTCAGATTTTTAATGCATGCCTTTTACTTTTAGAGAATTTCTACATTTCTGTAATATTACTCCTACTTAAGTAAAGCATCTGAAGACTTTTAGAGGTATTAAGTGACATAATATGCACATTAAGTATAATTAAATTGTACATGTAGTACTTTCCACCTCTGAATTTGTGATTAAATAAATGTGGTGGAAACATCTGACTCCAAATTCTTAAATAACTGTATTTATTTGAAATTATTAATGCACATTTAGTTATACCTATTTCTTTTTCAATCAACATGTGACAAAGCAAGACTTTGTTTTGAGGTTTTAAGGAAGTTCAAGGAAATCTAACTTCCTTACACTGGGGGAAAAAAAAAAATCCCATACATGATCCAGCCTCTCAGTTCTCTGTGGGATGGGCGGTCACTGCTTCTCATCTCCCTATAAAGGAGGTAAGGACCTGTTGCGCTCCGAGCTGCCAATCCACAGATCGACCTTCACGTGAATTCCCAAACACTCGTTCAACACTGCGCCGATGGATTTCAAAGAGTTTGGAGGAGAGTCCTCCGAGGGAGACACGGAGGATCTGGACAACGTGAAAGCACTCACAGAGAAGCTGAAGTTGCAGACTCGCAGACCGTCCTATCTGGAGTGGCAGGAGCGGGTACAGAGTCGGCCGTGGAAGGAGAGTTTCCCGGCAGGCAGCCCGGGCTCCGGAGCACAGGTTGTGTCCATGCCTGCAGTTCTGAGAGATGAGAACTCGGAGGTGGTTGTGCGCAACATTTGTGGCTTTGATACCATTGATGATGCTTTGGAGTTTCTGAGAAAAGAGCTGGTGAGTGAGCACTTTATCTATTACACTGAAAAAGAATGACTGGTTATTAGTCTCAGTCTAGATGATGTTGCAAAGAGCTGACAGCTTTACCCTGACAAACCAAAATGATTTCCAAAATCCCCCATCTGCACATGCAATGACGCCCCCCAGAAAGTTTTCATAGGGGTGGCCAGATGGGGCCACTGATAATCTTGGGGTGGCACACCAAAACCAAAAGCCATAACTAAACTTCAGGTATTCGCTTATGCTGTTGAAGTAGCCTATATAAGTTAGTTGAAAGCTATGTCAAAATAAGAGTTGAGGAATTTAACACTTAATATTACTAATTATCTGATATGCACAGACTAATAACTCCAGTACAGTTAACATTTTGAACTCTACAGTAAACCTGTTTTAATGTGTTGAGTGTCTATACATGTCAGGTAATTCATTGTTCTTCATATAGGCTGATTGTCCTTTCCTTTAAAAATACAAACATACAGCTTTAAGTTGAAGGAGTACATTTACTATAAGAATAATACATTCAATGGGAAAAAGTATGGCTGAGCGTTATTGTGGAAACCAAGTACCACAATATTTTTGATGACATATCTTGATAGCAATATCCTCCTGAGACTCTGTGTCTTCATATGAAGACATCACATTTTTGGTTTTCTTAACCTTATACTTCATTCTACTTAAAGGACAACTTCGGTATTTTTCAACCTGGGCTCTATTTCCCCATGTGTATGTGTGCGTATGATTCATGGGTACCACTCGTTCTAAAATTGGCTCAGTATTAAGGCGCGAAATGAGCTAAAACGGTAATGGGGGCAAATGCGTCCCGTATAAAAGTGCTTTTTTTTTGCCACTGACCGGTTCAGATCGCCAGTGCTATCTCTGTAGATAGCATATCGTAGCGGCCCTGGGGCAGTGGTGAGTGTGAATGAGTGGAGTCAGCTGTCAGTCAGTGTTGGAGCAGAGAGGGGGAGGGCTGCCCCACTGGGTACTGTAAGTGAGTATGTGTGTGTGAAGTGTGTGTTTTTTCGCCACTGACCGGTTCAGATTGCCAGTGCTATCTCTGTAAATAGCATACTAGCCTTTCCCTTACCTCTGGGCTGTGTGATGTCACGAGCTTTGCTCCACTGTGTCTGTAGCTCTCTCTACTCGTGGGACAGCCGTTTTCTTGAGGAAGAGGTGTTTCGGGATTGGATGTCTTCTCTTCTCCGGCTGGCAGTAGTCATCTTGGGAGAAGTGAGCACTGCAGACCCGATGGTCTGCAAGGCGCAGTGTCTGGACAGGAGTGTTAACATCCATTTGTAGCACAACTAGCCACAACTTCAGCATCTCGCCGTCCGACAAAGGTAGCCTGTGAAAGCTGTACAGGGTGTTGCGCAACATCCTGTTCTTGCGTTCAGGAAAAAGGCCCGTTTATTTGAGCGCTCCAAAAACTCTGGTAACACTCCAGGGGGTAGCACGTAAAAGACTCCATCCTCTGACTCTTCTAGTGTAACACACACACATACTCACTTACAGTACCCAGCGGGGCAGCCCTCCCCCTCTCTGCTCCAACACTGACTGACAGCTGACTCCACTCATTCACAGTCACCACTGCCCCAGGGCTGCTACAATATGCTATCTACAGAGATAGCACAGGCGATCTGAACCGGTCAGTGGCGAAAAAAAGCACTTTTATACTGGACACATTTGCCCCATTACCATTTTAGCTTGTTTCGCGCCTCAATACTGAACCAATTTTAGAATGAGTGGTACCCATGAATCATACGCACACATACACATGGGGAAATAGAGCCCAGGTTGAAAAATACTGAAGCTGTCCTTTAACATAGACGTAGATGTCCTGGTTCGTGGACACTTCTTTGTGCCATCTAGTGGTAGTAAGAGCACAATACACTAATCTGTGTAAAAACAAGATGGCAGCCGTCTCTGCCAAGCCAGTCTGCAGCCAGTCCCGACACAAAAGTGGGCAAGGTCCAAAACCTGATCACATTTTAGGGTTTATACTTGTTTTGTTTTGTTTTTGTATTATTTAATTATGTTTGTAAGTAGATATGGCAACAAATTTGACCAATTTTAGCACCAGTAACAAGCTAAGATGCTGTTAATTAGAAAGTATTCATTTGAGGACATTGGGACTTAATTATTGTTGACAATGTTTAGGTTTTATATTCACCGACTCCTACTGGCCCAAAATAGCTATGAGAAATGAATGCATAGCAAACAAAAGTTCAGGTCTCAGGTATACAGCAGATACTGCAGCAATACTGTCAGGTTAACTACTGGTGCTTTGTCATAATATTTACACAGTGAGATTTTTGATGAATAGTCATCACTTATGTGGATAAGTGGGGAAAGGCAATTAATAGAACAACTTAATCAGTCAGAAAATCCTTTAAAACTAGGAAATGACAACATTTAAGATATTACAATATCCAAAATCTAAGACGATATCTAGTCTCATATTACGATAACAATAAAATGTTAATATATTGCCCAGTCTTAGGAATAAGCTTTCTCAAGTTTAGTGGAAACTCATGGGTACCCATAGGACCCATTTTCACTCAGATATCTTGAGAGTGAGAGTTCAAGGAATGCTTTAAAAATAGTCATGTCGGGGCGCCCATTAGCTCACCCATGTACAAAGGCTATGTGCTTGCCGCAGTAGCCACAGTTTTGAATCCAACTCTGGCCCTTTGCTGCATGTCATATCCTCTCTCTTCTCGTTTCTTGCCAGAGTTTCCTATCTAACAACGGCAAAAATGCCAAAAAATAATCTAAAAATAGCATAACTTTGGAGCATTATTTAGCCCCCTTCCCAACATGCTATGGCAACATGATTGGTACCAATGGACACCTTAGGTTGTGTACATACTGCTGCCCTCAAGTCGGCCACAGCCTCTTAAAAAAATTGGCTTCCAATTATTTTCAACGTAGCGGTTAGTGGGGGAGTCAGCCATTGTCTTTCTGCTTCTTCCCTCATGTTGCGCCACTGTGCATATGTGTGAAATAGATGTCTATCTCAATACTTCACTAAGTCACCGCTCAGGTGTCACTGATCTGCTCTGCATGAATGCCTGACCTAAATTAGGGGATAGCATGACCGACTTCATGCAGTCTTCAAAGCCAAACAGTTTGTGAAACAATATGATGTGTGTTTTCTCACACTCTGCAGCCTGTATATTCCATACGCCAGTGATTTACACACTTTGATAAGAGGATAAAAACTTTGATAGGAGCCATAAATCCACACCTCCACACACTCTCTGGTATCTCACTAATCCAACCCCTTATCCCTGTTGCCTCTGCAGAGGGAGATGCAGGTTCAGGACAATCGTCTGGCCCGTCAGCTGATCCGTCTGCGTGGGGAGATCCACCGGCTGAAAGTGGAGCAGGTGTGCGACCGCCATAAGGAGATGCTGGATGATGCGACGTATGAGCTGGAGGAGTGTGGCGAGGAGTCGGACCTGCTATGTGACATCCCCATGAAAGCTGCCTTCGCTCTGTCCACCCCGCTCAAACACCTGGGCCTCACCAAGATGAACATCAACTCCAGACGTTTCTCACTGTGTTAAAACCCGTATTCATGTTACTGAGGATGTTCCCATGGCCTTCTTTGTGTTTGTGTTGGCTAGTTATGAGTTTTACTTCCTCCTCAGGAGTTGTTGATTGAGTGAAGAGTGGCTGCCAGCTATTGGTGCCCTGAGTGGAAACGAAAAGTACTGTGCACCTTGGCTTGACATGTATGAGGAAGCCTCAGCGTGCCAACCTGTAGGGGGAACACACCCTTAATGCAGACACACCTTCCTGCTGGACGGAGACTGGCCTGCTCTGCTGTTGGCTCAGTCATGCTACTGTAATCAGAGTTCACAGATGACAGCTTAGAGCTTGACTTAAATTTAAAATGGGCATTATGTTCAACATCTCTACCAAGTGATTTCTGTAAATAAAGTTTCACTTGTGCCAAAGGAGTGCAAAACAGTCACAGGGAGAGCAGAACTGATAAGCTGAAAGACTGTCATAGAAGAAGAAGCTCACTCCATAGAAGAAGTCAGTGTCTTATTGGTGAGCTTTGTAGTCCCAGTACAGGAGGGAGCTTTTCAGACATGTCTGTTTACTTTAAATCAGTGGTTTCCAACTTAGGGGTCAGGGTCCAGGCAAGGGCCAGCAAAATGAATTTGAGAGGCTGTGAGGCAATTAACAGGAAAGGAACCAGAGAAGAACAGATTTCCCTTTTGTCTTTTCCATTAATCGTCTGACCACCCTCTGGTTGAACTTCAGTGATTAGAGATTGCACAGCCTGGTCTCGCTCCCAGGGTGTCAAAATACCAGGGTGACATCAAGGGCAACGTTATCATTTTAGACAGTCAGAGCAATGGTTGAATCTCTCCCAACCAAAACAAAGTAGTTTTGATCCCTATACCTAACCATCAGCTGCTTCTTACTGCTCTGTTCGTGCTACTCAAAATCAGGTGTTTTTTAGGGAACTCTTTTCTAAACCATAACCAAGTAGTTTTGTTACCTAAACCTAAACGCTGACCCCTTCTTACTCCAGACCCCTTATGTGTCAGCATACAATGCAAAAGGCTGCCCCCAGCATCAGTTTAGTAATGATCACATAAGCCAAAGAGGGTGGGAACCAGTGCTTTACCAGTAATTGTTTTCGTGGAGTTGACTGCAAATAAAATAGTAAGACATTCGTGTGTCTCTTCCAGTCTGGTCAGATAACTGAAAATGATCAGCAGCACATTAAAACAGCCCTTTAATACAGCCACACATTCCAGCTGGTGAGGCCTTCATCAGAGCACCGTCCCTACCGCTATCTTCAAAGGAAGTGCGAGTCACACACCAGCATTTTTACACCTCTTCTTCACAAACCAAATATATCTCCATAGCCTCACCACTGCAGTGACAGGACACAGGAGGCTGTGCTTAAAGCATTTTGTTTTCCATTACCATATCCAGATGCTGCAGAGCACAGACTGGAAACTATATATGGCTGGACAGTGACCAAGTGTATTTTGTCTCCCAAAATACTTATTATATTGCTTAATATTAGTAGTAACAGCTGAGATACTTTTGTTGAGTGATATTTGACATTGATTGTAACTGTGTTAAATGTAAACAACTTATTATTATTGTTAAATCATGCTACTGTAAAATAATATGTATTTGACAAATGAGAATAAAAGAAAAGTGCCTTAAAGGAGCAGTGTGTAAGATTCAGTGGCAGCTAGTGGTGGTCTGTATACCCACGTAGAGACATAACGGTGGCCCTCTCTAAAGCGAGCGTTTGATTTGTACATTCTAGGTTACTGTATGGCGGTGCAGCATGCTGGGATCTGTGGGAGAGGGCCTGCTTTCTATGTAGGTATAAACGGCTCATGCTAAGCTAACAAAGCCACAATGATTCTTAGTTTTAGGGGATTGTACACTAATGAAAATGTTACTTTAAAATGTTTTTCATGCACACAGAAGACATTATTAAAGACTTTCCCACTTGTAACTTATGTTTTATCAATATTTAAACATTATTTTTTGCATGGTTGGAACAGACACTTTCGACTGCTTCTGTGTGACTTTGCACAATCTACTATGAATTTTATCTAGGCTAAATGTCACCACACGCTTCATCAGATCCATCCTCGGTCTTAAAGCCATCCTGCACAACAGTCTCTTCTTTCCTGCTACGAGACATTCACGACCTGGTGTAATATCCAAACATAAGAATGGGGCCCCAGAGGGATGTGCAGAACCACAGACATTGTTGAACATAATTAGTTGAACAAGTAACCAAATATGCCTTGGCAGAGTGCGGCCACTGTGTGAAATGAGAGCGCAACTGTTGACATGATCCTAACGTGGCATACTTCAGGACACAGATGACCTCATGTGTGACGCTAGACCTTAAGAGTGGAAATGAATATCATATGGAAAATGCACAGGGGTCGCGATTTTTTACCTCGAGGCCTCATTCTTTAGAAAATGCTTTTACAATAAAGCTCTGCAGACTTTCTCATGCCGCTCAGCTCTGCCCTGCAGATAGTTTCACTTGACCTTTTCTCCATATCATAGCACAGCCGGTATTAGAGTGTTTGTTTGGAAACAAAACAAGCTTAAAAATGCATGAAATTTGAATCGGTTAAAGACTGTGCTAAGGTGTACATGAGTAAGCATTAGCAGCAAAACAAAAGCCACACGCACTCACATGAAAGAGGCCAGCACCTGCATTGTAGGGCGGGCGGTAGGAAAGCTGGAAAACTTTGTGCATATTGATAGTATCTTGATGCGATTGCGTAACAGAATGTGATTTCCAACCACATTTAGAAGTAGCGACAGCTGTGGGAAAGGGAAATTAGGAATACCCTTAAAGGCTCATAACACCTGCCGAAAGAGTGATCTCCAAAGGTGGTGAGGTTCTTTTAGGTGTGTGCCAGCTGATCCATGGTATTATCCCTTCAAATTAAAGAGGAAATTGGGTCTGATAAGAATTTGTAGTTAGAAACAGAGTGGATTTTGTCTTATTGAAATCAGCCCAGTAAAAGGCTCCATAACTTATATCACTGTCGAAAAGTAAAAAAAAAAAAAAAAAAGTGAAACTACCTCACCCACCCTCTTAGATTTACACTCTCTCAGTTATGAGCTTTAACGGAAAAAGACAGAGCTCAGGTGGTTTCATCAAGTGAGACTTTAATCTATGCTGTGGCAGTCTTCTAAACACACATGTCTGTGCACTTCCTGTAATGTTTGGACTGACTTCCTGCCAGTGCGCGCTCTGTAGCAGCAGCCGTTCACCACAAGAGAAGAGATGCGGCCCGCAGCAGAGCTGTAGAAAACGCGACGGTGCAAGCTGAGAGACTTGGCAATTCGCTTCTCCTCTCAGGGCCAAGTGTGACCACTCAGCAAAGAGTTTTGGGTAAAATGATGATTTGTATAGGGTCAACCACTGATTGACATGTCCCTCTGTAAGTGAGATATTTGTGACTCATTTTGACTTTTTTTTTTTTTTTTTTTTTTTTGACTTGGTTAAGAAGACCAAGACCAAAGTCTTTAAATGGTCCTCTGGCCACAAACAAAACAGACACAAACCACATGTGTGAATGACAAAGTAAGCCTTGTTGTCTAAATCTGGGCCTTGAAACCACTACACAGGAAACACCACTGTCCAAAATTGCCAAAATGGTCTTTTAGACTTAGACTTAGAAAGACCTTTATTGTCATTCAGATACACACCTTACAATGCACATCAGAACGAAAATTCGTCACTCCATCTTGGATAGTGCAGTGATACATAAAAATAGCAGCAGGTGTCATATAAAATAAAATAAAATAGTGCAAAGTATAAGATATACTGTATATTCTATGTGTCAATATGATAAATCACAGTTTGATCATAATATTATTAAGATCAGTCTGATGCTGTCTGAAATCGTCTATCTTGTCAAACGCTCTGGCGGGGTACATTTTTTTGAATAACCCTGGACTTCCACATCAACCCCGCACTGGTTCTTCTCACCTTAAAGGTCACTGACACACAGATGTTACACGTTACAAGTAAAATGTATAAATATAACCCCACCACTGTCTCACAGCCTACCACTGCCTCCTTTTTTTAAACTGTATTGGAAACATGTTTCAGGAAAGGTGGCGTCCTGACCCCTTTACCATGGAGACTGTAACGTTCCCCCCCTGCTCGCACACACAGCTGCATGGTAAAGCACCTGTTAGAAACCTTGCAGAGCAACCCTCAACCTTTCAACGACAGGAAACTCTCTGGGTTGCTCTCCTCCACTCCTCCAAAGTGTTGCGCACACACATCAGCAATTCTGGTGTTGAGATAGTTATAACAAGAGAGGCGGATGATGACATCTTCACACTGTGGCTCCAGTAGTGAAAACCTCACTTATTGCTAAATAGCTCTTTTAAAAGAGATAACTATTTGACAAAGAGTATCTCCATGGCGGCACGTGAAATCTGATATTATTGGAGGCTTGAAGAGACATTTCATATCGAGAGGTGAGTTTCAAAGTTGTGATTCTATCAGTGTTACATAGGTTTATAATATATAGAGAAAAGAGTGTGACTTAGGTAGACGGCCATTTACTGTATTATCATTTCCTTGTAATAATCATACGTGTTATGTAAAATATGCCACATATATCAGAGGGGTTGTTTACAGTTGGAAGTTTGTACTTTTTTAATTAACAAGATTGTACTTTGAAAATTGACCTAGAGAAAAATAATGTCCACACCCAGGAGTAATGGCCAGTCAGCTAAAATCAACATGTTGTTGCCTGATTTGAACCTTAACGTCTGGTAACAAAACATATTCAGATACTGGTTGTGTCATCATCACAGCTGATGAAAATTAGATGAATAAAAAAATGACAAAAACGATGTGACCACATTAAACAACAGGATGCTTTCTCATTGTAATGAAATATGCACCTGTGTCTTGTTAATTCATTTTTCAAAAAATCAAATATAAAAATTGAGTCATTTATGTGTTTGTAAATTCATAGCTGTCACACAAACATGTCTCTTTGTGGGAGATAATGTAGATAATGATGAGCGGATGTGAGGCAGAAAAACAAATTTGAATGTGAAACATCAAAACTGGAATTAAATTGGTGCAGCAACAAGAAAATCCACATGTAAATGTCTTTTTAAACATGCTAATTTTGTCTGTATTTATGGTGTGTTTGAAAAGGTGTACTTTATTAGCCTACAAGCGTCACCAACAGTGCCAAAATGTCTTAATTATTTACATACCCATGACACTTTGCAAACAATAACAATCATCAGTATTTGTTTGGAAAGGCCTTCAGCTGCTCATGGTGAGAAGAAGAGGGTAGCCCCTCAATGGAAAATGCTGACTTTGTTTGTGTGACTCCCTGAGTGCTGGCCAGTAGGCGTAGGAGTGCTGATAATTCAAGAAAACTGGTGATCCTCCTGTGATTCGTTCCTTGGGGTCTCAGTACAGTAGTGGGTTGTTATTGCCGGGTCAGGCCTCTTCAGATTTTTCTCATGGCTGCGAGCCTTTGGGACACATGGCTGCTGCGATTAGCCCACTGACCCTGTTCCATGAGTGGCCCAAGGGGCGCCAAGTAAGCTTGAGAAAGCCGATTCGTGCTGTACACTGGTGTAAAACACAATACAGAACACGTGCAGACGTTGGATTAAACCAGATTAGTATCTGTAGAGTTTTATAGAGCTTTCTATTCAAGTCTGAGGTAGAATTAGATCATGTAAATGCATGTGACATGCTGAAAGTGGCAGCAACAATGACGCTGTTTGTCATAGTTCTGGATGTGATTTTATTTGACTAATGTGTGCAGGTTTATACTGTGTCAAAATAGTGCCTAAAATGAAAGCTTTTATAGGTGTTAGGCTCTTAGTTTCCAGCCTGGTTCACCAATGAGCCTCCATTTTGAGGCGAGGCCCTCAGTCACATCCGATTGAAGCAGTTTTCGGAAACGAAAACATTTTGTGTCTTCTGTAGTGACAAAACTTTAAATGCAGCCCAAATCTTTCTGAAACTTAGAAAATAGTTTTCCTTTTTTACGTCCTATGTTTAAGGGTTTAAGGGATTTTTTTTTTTTTTTTTTATAAAACTGTTTTGGATCTATATGACACATTTACTTTGGGGACGACACAGCTATCGAAAATGCCGGCCAAACGGAAAAAAAACCTTTCAATTGCCTTTAAAAATGAGCAATAATTATTTTATGAACACTCTGATGCCCTTAATACTTTTTGAAACATAATTTGAGCCTCTAAATTGCAGAAAAGATGGGGTGTAACTGCAGTTCGGATTATTCAGACAACGACTGGATTGAGAATCTGGATGAAATCTGTGAACACTGCAACTGCCCCATACCTCCCCAGTCATGCAATCCAGTAAGTGTATGAATGAGTGTGTGTGTGTATAAGTGAGCTCGACATGAATGGGTTTTGGTTTAGTGGTGGTGAATGTGACTGACCACTTGGATAAGTTGACTGCAGAAGGTGTGAACACCACATGGACTGCCCCAATTCATGTTGTGTTGTTTAAATTATGTAACCAATACCAAGAAAGGTACAATCTGCTATTGTATGTTTGAGTCCAGAAAAGTTGTATAACTTACATAACTGCAAGGGAAGTTGTCTTTTGTGTGTGTGTGATTAAATGGGAGACTAATTATTCCATCGATGTTGTTTTGTTTC